TAAGATCAAATTAAAAGTTATTAGAAGCTTTTACAATATCAATAAACATTAAACATTGCACACTATGCGTTAAACAGTAATTCAGTTGACAATGGCTACTTTATAACTTCTTACTTTAAATATAATCACAATGGCTTCCTCCAACATTGTGGGGTGATGCCAATATAAGAGACCGCACCCTCATTTTCGGGACACACTCGCCATCGAACACTGAAGCCAGCGGAAGCTCTGCCCGTTTGACTAGCCAAAATAATTAATCATTTTAACTGTGATAGTTGATTATGTTAATGTTGTATTTTTAAATCATTTTAGTGTTAATTACATTTATTCAATTCTGTTAGTTTTCTTATTAATTCAAAAAGTACTGTAGTAGTGTATAAGAGATTGTTTTTTTAATTTTCCCTGCTTCTGATCCTTAAGATCAGAAGTGGGATAGTGAAACTCCCAAGTCCTTGTTTGTACATCCTGATACGATGTGTTTCCATTGTTATTTCTTTAATTGGCTAGTGATACGATCAGAAATATATTTTTGGAAATTGTAACTACCCTTGTTTAAAAGGACAAATTAGCACTTTGTTTTCGGTGTTTCGTATAATATACGTAAGTAAGACGCGATGTGACGGTGTGATCAAGTTTTATAATGTCAACTTTGGTGAGTACGTTCCAATTGTTTTCTTCTCCGCTTTAAAATAACAAATAGGAGTTGTATTTGTTAGCTTTTTGTGTAAATTTTAGAATGGCTCAATTTTAAAATTTTGTCGTGTCTACCCTATTGATCAATAATTTACCGTAACTTGAATACTTGAGTACTATGCTTGAAATTACGTCTAATTTTAAATACTTGCTAAAAAAAAGAAAACATGCTTAATTAAGAGGCGGCAGAATAGACGCCGGTCGCGAAATCGCAGATCGCATTCTAGCCAACATGATTCGCGCTACAGACGACGTAGCCCTTCTAGCAATATTTTAACCGAAACAATGCAACAAATTTTAAACGATTGGTGTCATTAGAGGAACAACAGGTAGTGTCTTCATCTCAACGAAAGGAGTCTAGTGGCCGCTCTGCAGTGGAAGTAGCCAAGTCCGCGGTGCCTGTGGCAACCATCAGCGCCGAGCCCGTTCCTGCCGTTGAGCCTGCCGTCTCGATGCCGCCGCCGACGCAGTTGGGCGAAGCTGTGACTGCGAGCTCACTTCAGGGGTTCGCTTCAGGCTTCAACGACTCCGTCCTCACCGGAGCGTCCCGCGAGCGCTACGTCAGTCTAGGCCAGCGCCGCCGATCGCATCATCGATGCGATACGATCCATAAATATACCGGTGAGATCTAACCAGCCTTATTATATTTCTAATTTTGATCCGAGTGTTAACTTTCCTGTACCCGCGCCAAATTTTTTAACACCTATACCCGCGCACGGTGTGACAGACCGTAACTTTGACTCCTGTTACCTAGTTATTTTTCTATAAAACCATTTATATTTTTTTTATTTTACAGGAACTATAGGATGTAATAAAACAAAAAATACCAATTGTTAGCTTATACTATTTAATACTGTAATGACTATCAGTCTTTCCATAACAGCCTTAAAAAAGTCTCATTTTTTCTTATAGTCATGAAAAACAAACATAAATTTATTTCTTTATTTGTCCACTGAACAATCCAAGTACAAACACTTTCCGAGAAAAATAGCCTCCATATTTCTAGCGGCTCTTTCGTGTTTTTAGCTTCACCCTTAGGTCCTGGGAGTTGTGTCCCGAGATTCCTGGTGCAGCGCCTAACCTGGCTTGATCCAGGAGTTTTATTCCACCGCGTACGACTGTCTTTTCCGATGTAATGATCTCCGTTAGTATCATAATCTTCTGATTCTGATTGAGAATCGTTCTCTCGGTCCGAAGACTGAATTTCATCTTCAAAATTACGTGTTTCTTCTTCGGCTGGACTACCATTTTCAACTTCGCTAGCAATTTCATCATCATAGTTAGAGCTTCTTCCTCCAACAACAATCGAATACGTTCTTCATTCATTTTTGAAGCGTTTATAACCTAAAAAATTCATAAATCGATATAGTAGTTGTAAACAAGTAAAATGCAAGACAAATCAATGCATAAAAACAAGTATATAACATGTATATACACATAAACCAAAAAATATGACTTCCTAAAAAGTTGATCGTGTACCCGCGTCGGTGTCACAGACCGATCAGACCGTATTAGGCCTAAACGTCCTGCTCGCACGATTGTGTCCCACGTAGTAACCAAAAGCAAGCCCCAAATCGTGCAGCTAGCAGAAAGAGTGAACTCTCAAAGTTCTTGGAAAAAAAAAATATTTACGAAAAACTGTTTCGTCGGTCTCACAGACATTTTTGCGCGGGTATAGGAAGGTTAATGACATAGAGACATGGTGGGAAGAAGTAGACCGTGCTAGGTCTTCTAATAATTGGAGTGATCACGAATGTCTTTCTCGCATTGGCAATAAGATGGAGGATCTCCGTTTGCGTTCAATTTGTAGCACAGATTATAAAAGTTTCGCTTGCCTGATTAACTATGGTCCACTTTTTTTCTGTAAAAATCCTTCGGTACAAAATGTTGCAATCTGTGACTAGCTGATTGACAGCAGGAAGCGCGCGAAAACTGAACCGCCATTGTCAATAACATTAGTCAAATGTTGTTGATCAATCATTTTAATATTTGTCTCTTGTGGGAATCTGTTCACGTCGATTTCTTCATAGTAGTAGTATCAATATGGAAGATATGAATCCTGTATTTTCATTCCCATTTCAAGCTTATGATATTCAGGAAAAGTTTATGAAAGAGTTATATTTTACAATTAAAAATAGTAGATTGGGTATTTTCGAAAGTCCTACAGGAACGGTTAGTAATTACTATTTAACATAGCGTGGTTTTTTTATGATACTTAATTGATCTTTATTAAACAGGGTAAATCTTTAAGTATATGTTGTGGCGCTCTACAGTGGTACATCGATAATAGGCAAAAAACAATTCAGGATATTGAAAATGATATTACTAAAATTAAAACAGATCTAAAGAATCTAACAGGTATTTATAGCCAAGCAGATTTAAATAATTGCAAAAAACATTTTAACATTTATTTATAGTTTAAATGTATTATAGATTCAGAAGACTGGTTACAAGCAGAATATGATAAAATTAAAAAGAACCAAACATTGAATGAATTACAGTTCAAACTTGATAAAATCAAGAAACAAGATGAGCTATTCAATGAAATGAAGAATAGGGTTGCTAAACAGAAATCTAACATCAACAATAATATTCATGGAAACTACTTCCCGTATTCTAACAAAGCAGACAAAGAACATGAAAATAACGAGAACAATCCGGATAATGAAGAGTGTGATGATGATTTAATTGTAGATAGTTGTGATAAAGATGTATCAGATGAGGAAGATTTAGATGAATTGAATGAAGAGAATGACCATTTACAGCTTAAGGTATGTATATTTTAAATTAAACCACATTAAAGAACATATTTACACATTTCATTCATAATAGCAGTGATTTAAACAGTATTTCAATACAATATGTTGAAAAATAGTAAAGAGATGTTGCTCTGCAGTATGTAGAACTAATTGTTGCCTGTGACTCCGTCCGCAAGAATTTTAAAAACAAACTTAATTAGTAGCCATTTTTATTACAGACTATGTTCTACATTTTTGCCAATTTTAGTCATAATCTGTGGAGCGTTTCCAGAGATACCTTCAAAGAAACCATCCATTTAAACATTCACATTTAACTGTAAGATTAACATGGACATCTTTTTTTACAGATTTATATAAGTAGCAGAACACATAGTCAGCTGTCCCAATTTATTGGTGAAATCAAAAGGACCGTGTTCAAGGAATGTACTCGAGTTGTTACATTAGCTTCTCGTCAGCATTACTGCATTAATTCTGATGTTACACGACTGAAAAATGTTAATTTAATAAATGAAAGGTTAGTTCATAATTTTCTATCCTATATATTCTAGTATATTTAATTAAACTCTATCTATAGCTAAAGCTTTATAGTTTTTAACTCCAAGTTAGTTGGATATTAATATTGAGAAATAGCTGACGCCAATGGATACCTGCAACTCCAAAGGCAGTGAAATTACATTACTAATTTGCTAATATTTCCAGATGTCTAGACATGCAAAAATCTAAAACAAAATCAACATCAGTAGGCGATGAGGGTAAAGTCCTTAAAAGGACAAAGACAAAAACATGTTCAGGATGTCCATATTACAAACAGAATAACATAACAAAACTAAAGGAAAGATTGCTTGTTGATATCATGGATATGGAGGATTTAGTGAAATGTGGCAAACAGCTAAAAGCATGTCCATATTATGCATCAAGAATGGCATTAGACGATGCTCAGGTATGTTCAACATATGTGATAAGATATTTTTAGGGTTTTATTCTTTTATACTGTAAATCTTATTTAAAAGAAACACATGCAAATTATTACAGTTAATAGTTAAAGAGATAATGAAAATAAGATATTCTTTTCTCTTCTCATCATCTCTTTCTTTCTGTCTATTTAATCCTGTGTTTCTGAGACAAAAATCCATGTTCAAAACATATTGTTATCTCTATTTTATCAAAGGTAAAGAATGATGATAAGCTTTATACAGATATTTTGGTCTGAGAAACCCAAAGTAAGTCAGGGAATGTATGTAACAATCATATGTAGTCATACTTAACATCATGTGACCAGTTTGCCTTTTATCTAACTTAGCGATCTAAATAAATTCCAGCTTGATATCTTAACGCATTTCTGAGAAATAGGGTCTTGACAGGCAGACATTTGGACAACAATGAAATCCTATAAGGGTTCCATTATTTTTCTTTTTGAAGTATGAAACCCACAAAATACTTCTACACAGAGATTTGTTATGTTATCTCTATTGCATGATCTACACTAAAGTTCTCCTTAGTAACCAACTAACTAATCTGAGTATGGAAGAAATACTAATCTTCCATAATTATTTATCTGCAGGTAGTCCTACTTAGCCATGCAGGTATAGTTAATTCAGGTGCCCGATCTGGTTTCTCTATCAAGCTAAAAGATAATATTCTAATACTTGACGAAGCACATGGTTTAAGTGCTGCGCTGGAAAACGCACATTCCGCACCGGTTTCATACAAACAACTGTCATCAGTGAAAACGTACCTTAATTTTTATATAAACAAATATAGAGCACGATTGAACAGTAAAAATCTTTTGTTGTTGAATCAAATGAGTTTTGTTGTTGGAAAACTTATAGGTAAATCGACAATTATTAAATACATAAACTAGCTGTCGCTCGCATCTCTGTGCCGCGGAAATAAAAGCCTATTCATGGCCTGTGTTCTTCCCGACTATGTTCTATATCTATTTCAAATTTGATCATGGTATATGCAACCGTTTTGGAGATAGCTTGAAGCTGTAACATACAAACATCCTTGGATGTGTGGTTGGATCATACAAAAGCTATTTACTTATAAACCTATTGACCTTTTTATAATACAATTTATTCAAAGTACCATATTTATTTTATTTTTCAGGAATACTTAAACTGAAAGTCTCCGGACAGGAACAGAATGATACCAAAATCTATACACTTGAAGATTTCGTTATAAAATCTGAAATAGATCATTTGAATCTTCGGCCTTTGGTAGAGTTTTGTAGAGACACGCGTCTCGCACCTAAATTACACGGTTTTTCAATGAGATATAGCAAAGAGGTATTAGAAGAGGAAAATAAAAAGAAAATCCTTAATACGAAAAGTTCATTTGAAAAATTTATAAGTAATATTAAGAAAACAGATAAAGTTGTAGAGGAAACTGAAGAAACGAAGACATCTCCTCAGGTAGTTTTTTTACTAAACAAAATTTAATTAAAATCATTATTTTTTTTTAAATGTTGTAATTTCCAGTTGCCAAGTGAAACATCCGCCGGCAGTGGTCTGTATGCGGTTCTAGACTTTTTAGACATGTTGTGTGACCGCAGTGAGAACGGAAGAGTGTTGATACAAAGAGGAGAGGATAATACATCGCATTTGAAATACTTACTTTTGAATACAGCTGAACACTTTGTTGATGTTGTCTCACAATGTAGATCTGTAAGTATTGACAGTACTATAATTTATATAATTAGTGAAGAATTAAATAAATTAGTAGCCTATAACAAGCCTTAATGCATAGGCTACCTTCCAGTTAAAGTCCCATTAAAATCGGTCCAGCCCTTCCGGAGATTACCCGGAACAAATGCGACCTTGCGGACAGACATACAGACAGACAAAAATTTTTCTTTTTGAAAACGTTACTATATTAAATATAGCAACTATGTTTTTTTAGTATAACATACATACACTCTTATTTTTAAAATATGTATAGATGAATGGAAAATTCTCTTCAAAATAAGTTAAAAAAATACATTATTCCAGACGTCCCCCTCATCAACAATTAAAGATAGACACCACATCTGCAACTGTTTAATTTGCTTCATACGAGTATGCCGTTCGCTATTTTAGGTTAATTCAGGTTACCCAGTTGCTTGTTTCCACCATTTCATTGAAAAAGTTATAATGTCTTATTTTTATAAGGTAATATTGGCTGGTGGTACGATGGAACCTATCAGTGAGTTCCAAGGGCTACTCACAAATAATACGACGGACGTGGATAGAGTTAATATAGTGAAGTGCGGACATGTTGTGCCCCCGGACAATGTGCTAGGCATTTGCCTGTCTCAAGGACCATCTAATATCAACTTAAATTTCTCCTATGAAAACAGAATGTCCAATGAATTGGTAAGTTTGAAACTTTTAAAGGTACTATCAATTTATCATGGTTTAAAAAAAATTTGGTACTAAATGTGGCTTATTTTATCCGGGGATAATGTACCTTCCCAACAGTGATACAATTTTTCAAATCAGTTCAGTACTTTTTAAGCTTATTCAATGCAAACAATCAACTCTTTATGTTATAGAATAGTTGTTATTTATATTGGAGATTTATTATAACATAAGCTTTTAATGTTTCACAAGGGAATCTATATATATACATGTATACTTCTTTCGAGAGCGTCGGTGGCTCAGGGGTCAAGCACTTGACTTGCAATCTGCAGGTGCTGAGTTTGAATCCCGCCCGACGTTCTTACGGTGAAGGAAAACGTCGTGATGCAACCTGCACATATCTGAGAAGAAATTCAAAGATATGTGTGAAGTCAACCAACCCGCACTTGGCCAGTGCGGTTGACTATTATTGCCTATTTATTCTTAACTTAGGGTAGGCTCTAAGTCCCTCGGTGGTGACGTATAGCGAGCTGATGATGATGATGATACTTTTTTCTGTCTTAAAAGGAAACATATACTTCTTCAAGACAATGTTCTGTTTTGGTAGCATATTTTAACCATATCCATTCAACTGTTCCTCAGTTAACTGATAATGGATGTATATCCAAACTTTCGTATTAACAATACTATTATGATTTCTATAACTATTTCAGTTGAACGAAGTAGGCAGGATACTTCGTAACATAAGCAGTATAGTGCCCGGAGGTGTTGTTTGTTTCCTACCTTCTTATGCCTATGAACAAACAGTATACCAACATCTGTTGAATAACAAGTTTATAGACGGTATTAGTAAGAAGAAAACTATATTTAGGGAACCGAAATCCGCCACTGAAGTGGAACAAGTAAGTTTTTTAAAGTCTTATAATCTTTACACTTTATTGCTAAAATTAAAAAAATCTTTTTCGAAATTTCAAGTGCATATATATACCAAAGGCCTAGTCCCCCGTAACTTAGGGTAGGCTTCGAGCCCCTCGGTGGGGACGCATAGTAAGCTGATGATGATACCAAAATATGTAGTACCAGCAGCTTTATTCTGTACATGATTAGTGACGTTTATATGTTTTATAATATTAAGATTAAAATTATTAATTAAGTCAAATTAGAAAAAAAAAATACGTAGGATTTTTTTAAAATTCCAGGTGCTACAGAAATTCACCACAGCTGTTAGAAAGAAAGAAGGTGATCGGAACGGGGCCCTACTTCTCAGTGTAGTTGGAGGAAAATTAAGTGAAGGACTTAACTTTAGGTAATATATTTCAATTTTTAGTTTTATAACAATAACTATAACTAAAAAGTTAATAGTTTATTATATAGGTAATATATATTTGTTTAATTGTATAAGTGTATACATTTATAATAAATAAATAAAAATTACACTTGCAAATCCAATATAAAAAATAATTATTTTCTGTCATGTCTCTCTGTATTGAATTCTTTTCCTGCTTGGGATGGAACAACATAAATTTTCTATATGACAAAATAATATGTATGTATATTGCTATGATAAGTTTTCAAACTAATAACATTTCATTGGAAATAAATGTCCTTGACTAATGCTTTCTTTTAACCGACAGAAAAGGAGGATGGTCTCAATTCGTCTGTATGGTTTTTTTAAATTTCAGTGATGACTTAGGACGTTGTGTGATAGTTATCGGCATGCCGTACCCAAATGTAAAGTCACCAGAACTGCAAGAGAAAATGAACTATTTAAACAGAACTGTAGGAAGTAGCGCTGGAAGTCAGTACTATGAAAATTTGTGTATGAAAGCTGTTAACCAGTGTATTGGTATGTATATACCTACTAGTAGTCGCCCGCGACTCCGTCCGCACAGATTCAAAAAACCTTGATTAGTAGTGTATGTGTTCTTCCAAACTATGTTCTTCATCTGTGCCAAATTTCATCTAGATACATGTAGCCGTTCTGGAGATATTGTCTAACATCGAAACATTTCCCCTTAGTAAGATTGTATTTCATATTTTCATTATAAAAAAGCAAATCACTTTGTGTAAATAAACAATGTTAATAATTAGCAATCAATTTTTACTTGGATTATTCATACTATGGGACCCGGAACACCAGATTTTTGGTCTACTGAGGTATGATTGACTTTACTCGTAACTTGGTTTATGAAGACCTTTTACACAATCTATGCATTCACGCCTATGTACATGTGTTCATATATTTAAATTAGTTTTTTACAATTTCAGGCCGAGCAGTGAGACATGCCAATGACTATGCCTGCATTTTGCTCGTAGACGAAAGATATTCCCGAACGCAAACTACAGCCGCTTTGCCCTCATTTATTCAGGTAAACTAATATTATTATTGGGTAAAGCAAGAAATAACCCCTGAGATGATGATGTGTTTGCTTTCTGTGAAATTCAGAAATATTTTTCTTATCTGTATACTTTTACTGAATTATAATTATTTATTGCACTTGTTAATAACAAACTCATGTTTAATTTCAGAAATCCTTATTAACCAGCTGCAAATTTGGACAAACAATCGGTAGCATTGCAAGGTTTTTCTCGAAACATAAGGAAATGAAACTATAGAATTAATGCAATAATTTAATTAACTATATATTAAATCTTATGAAATACAACAATAAATAAATTATATTTTTACATATTTACAGTTTTGTTTTTACTGCAACGCCCAACTAAAATCCTAGAAACTGACATTAAAAATTTTCTTTTTATGAGGAAGCAAAACACTTATCGAACTTCCTTTAATATTAATCTAGCAATAGAATAATATTTACATAATACAAATCACTTTCAATCAGCCAGAGCTTTAGGTAATGTAGTACCACATGGTCCTTCAAAGTAATAATGAAAGTCTGGCGTAGCGGGTGTGGGCTCTAAATTAAATTCCGCGACAATTGCGCCCCTGGTGGCGGCTTGCGGCGCAAACATAGCCGCTGGATACACCACAGATGATGTACCAACTACTAAACACACATCACAAGTTGCCATTGCTGTTTCTGTAAAATAATACGTTTCTTGTTAAGATTACTAATTTTTTTTTTGTTTTTGGATTAATATTATTTGTTCTAACAGCCAAAGTTGTAAATTCTTTTAACTATGAATAAAAAAAAGAACTTAATTTTGTTGCAAAAGAATGTTAACCTATTGAACTATAATATTATTTATAACTATATTAATAAGTGAATATTATATTATAACATATCACCTGCTTTGTCTAAAACAGCTGGGTCCAAATTTTCACCAAACCATACAATATGAGGCCTTAGTAGTCCACCGCAGTTTGTCTTTTTACAATGAGGCAAGGATTTTACTGGTATATCCGAGCCCACAACTTTTGCATCAGGGGCCCCTCTTCCAGCTAGTGCCTGGAAAAAAAGGATATCTGAAGTTCTATTTTTAATTAGCTTATTCTGCTGTATTAAAAATTCATCTGTCTTCTATCCCAACTCACTTCACAAATTGGGCTGTCATTATTAACTAGAACTTCTTTGCATTTTGTGCAGCGGGTCTTATATAGGTTACCATGTAATTCTATTAAATTTTTAGTGCCTGCTCTTATATGCAGACCATCTACATTTTGTGTTATCACTGTTATCTTTTTTTCTGATCCAAGTCTTGACTCATAATCAGCAATCGCTTTGTGACCCTAGAATAAAAATGTAAACATTATATCTGCATTTTTAGTTGTATTGACATACTGAGAACTTGAGGAAACTATCTTTTACTAGCCTTGCCATTTCAACATGCAAATAATTAATAGCAAACATGCTTTATCTGTCCAACTAACAGGTTCAGGATGTAAAATTTCTAAAAAAAAACTGCCTTTCGTATAAGCTTAACTTAGTAGGCAGATATATCTGGATTCCTAGAAAACCCTGGAAATTACAATATATACAGCAATTTTATTTTTATTTATGTACCTGATTGGGTTGTGCTTTAGCGGCCACTTCTCGTCTATAGTGGTAAAACTCCCAAACCAAACTAGGACTATGTCTAAATGCTTCAGGGGTCGCCAAAGAAGATGCTTGATATTTTCTCCAAAAGCCACCCGCACCTCTAAACGTAGGTATACCTGATTCGGCACTTATACCAGCACCGGATAGAATAACAACTTCTTTAGCCGCTTTCAATGTTTCCTTGAACTTTGCCATGTCACTTGATTGTCTTATAGCCATATTGTTGTGGGCAATGAATAAATTAATTCGCGTAGTAAATGTTCTTATAAAGGTAATACACATAATAATAAAACTTATGAAATTTAAAGTGTCTAAAGTCTATCAAAATCAAAATATCTCGATTCGAATATGAAGTTCAAAAACTGAATTAATTCTAAAAATGTTCTGTTGACTTGACTATTAAAGTACTTTTGTCAATTATTTTTTTTTGTCAACAAGTAACTCGTGAAATGGAAAACAAATAATTTTGTTCATTATTTTGTTTAATGCAAAATATGTTGAAAAAAAACTAATTAAAATAAATAGGGGGGCAAAAAATACAGGCTTTTGAATGTTACCTTGACTTGACACTTGACGTTGTAAAAAAATCTTTTTTGGTTATGTTGTTCTGTTCTGTTTCTGTTTCTTGTTTATGGCTCTCCCTCATCGGATTGGGCCAATGTCAAGTGTTTATGGTTCTGTTTAAACTTGTTAGAGACTGGCAACAATACTCTGCTTGTAGAGAAGTCTTGTGAATATACAAGTGAACCAAAGAATAAAAACGAATAATATGGTTATGTTGTTATCAATGTTTATTTATTTTTGACAATTGACACATGAAAGGGATTGATGCACTGACAAATATGGATAGGCTACTAGCTCCGCTATTTTGTGCCTATTTGAGTTTCCCTATTTTGGCTCTGATGGTTGCGGTTTCTAGTGGTGGTAAAGATTGGTACTAACATTACACATAGAATTAACATGCGGTAACATCAACAGAGGTTTAAGTGGGAACGAAACAAAACGACCGCTACTTGCCACTTTAAAAACCTTAAATTAAACTTGGGTTTTTGAAACCAAATTTTACTAAGGGTAATATAGAATGTTAACGAAAGGTGTGACAGGATCTTCGCGTACAGAAAACCATTTCAATCCACACATGACTTGATTGGTCTGTTGTGTTGTTAATTACAAAAACACGGCACGGAGTAAAAGAAATACATTTATTACAGCTTGTGTAGATTACATTATTCGTCTTCCTTGTTTAGTTAGAGATGATTTTCTTAAAGAAAAACAAAAGCGGAGTAAGGTTTACAGATTCCTGAAGTCCTTTGTATAACCTACTAAGAGCGTACACTTATTGTTCTGATAAAACAAAGGTACGCTTGGAATTGTTTCTAAATTTATCTTTTAGTGCTGATTTTAACAAAGAGTGAAGAATGTTCTTGATTACAAAGATATTTCACGATCTATAAATACCTGAAGATTCAAAGCAAATATTTAATTTAAAAACAGATTTATTTGAGCTTTACATTCTCTTAATTTTAAGGTTACACTAATATATAAAAGAGTATGTACTTTACAAAAGAATTTGACTACATATAAATCGTTTAATGTAAGCTCAATTTGACATACATACATATATATACATTCATTATGAGAAGGTTCGTGTTTACCAATACATTAATAAACCAGAACCCAATCTTCATAGGGCGTATTAAATGATCAAACACGTCTCGTTAATAAACGAAGAGACATGTTCAAAAAGCTTTCACGTTATTTATTCAATATAGGAAATTAATTGCTATAAATGGAATTAAGTAGGAAAATCATCAATAAAATGTATAATAATTTTAATTTAAAATTTCCCGTCCATTTTATTGAATTTGAAGTAGTGCAGTTGGATTTAATAAGCCTTCCACTGGCTTATTAATTTCGCTCTAAGTAGGTTTCAGCTGCTGCATAGACCAATGAAGTAAATTGCAATCCATTGATTTCGCAACGATATTGAAATTAAAGTTTAGTTTTAACCTAAAATTTAGTTTAATTCGTTAATGTTGGGATAAGTTTAAGAAATATTTTGCGCATATTTTTTTTAAATAATAGATTTAAGAAAACTAATAGGTTTGTTTAAAACCAACCTTTTGTAAGTCTTCAAAAAAGAAATTTCTCACTTCGTTTGTGTGATTTTTATCACCGTAATATTGCGCGATGACCATGATAACAATCTTTAGCGCTTTTCAATTTAGAATAAACATTCAAATTAAGTGAATAAATAACCCAAAATAACTATATCATGATGGATATACACGTTGGCACGTTGGTATCAATGCAGTATTTTAATGGATACCGAAAACGCCGACACCTGTATGCTTTGTGAACGGAGCCATTGACGTCATAGGGTTGGCGCGTGCGCGATGGATATCGTCGCCATTACATACTGAGGGTGGCATGGCATCAACAGAACGCGGCACGCTTATTTGGCGGGCGGACGTCGGCGGCCATCTTGAAACTTTGGAAGTTCACTGCGCGGGAAATCTAGGCGGTAAGTAACAACGTAATAATTATAACAGAGATAAAATTGCGACCACCGTGCGCGTCGGAGTTAAAAAACAAATTACAATAACGGCTTTGGCTATATAATTTTTCAATTATTGTTTAAGTTAATTTATAAACGACGTGAAATTACGTTTCAGTTTAAATTCTAATAATTTAATAATTTCGCAAGTTTTCTAGATTTTAAAATAACTGTCGCTTAATTATTTTTTATCATTAAAATTTTACACAACTTTATGGTTTCCTTGTGTATAATTTAATGTTGTATAATAAAAAATAATATGATGATTATTAATTCATAAGTCTTAGCGCGTATTTTTCCTTTTTCAAATCATCGTAGATATACTGCGTTTATATTTAGTACCTAAATAAATGATTTACGTCTAATAATGAGCAAAACACCGCAGGGGAGACGGATATAGTTATTTTAGCAGTTAGATCAGATTAGATTAGACAGATTAGATTTGCGAGTTAAATAGTCACATTGTTTACATAACTTATCTCAAACATTTACAAGTTCTAATCTACGCCTTACCAACTTAGAGTTAAGTTTGGACTTGACTTACCTTTGTCGGAGTTGGTAAGTTTACATAGGAATGAAGTTCTTTGATACAAATATTTCTGCTATTTACATCATTAGCAACAAATTCCAAACCTTTGTGCAAGAGTTAAAGATAAGTTAGTTCCCTCAGTTGTCTGTAAAGTTGTATTTTACGAACGGAAAACATTTATACAAATAAAATATTATTAATGTACGTATGTATAGTAATATCAGAGTTTTTACATGCAAGAATACGAGTTTGAGTACATATGTACCTATTTTTGTAACGCAATATTAGAGAGAAATGAACATTTATTGACTTTGACTTTAAGAGAAATTACGTCTAGAAATCTGCGAAATATGAAACGCAATTTCATGACCCATACGAAGGCCTACCTTTGTGACGTAACTCATTCGACCCTTGTCTTATTTTAACCTCATATTTACGTCGAAATATTGTAGATGAAAACGGACAAACCTCAGAGAGGAACGCTGTAAATATTAGAGGCGTAAAAATAAGTGAAATCTCATAAAATCGGGAGTGGATGGGAATATTTATTTTATAATACTAGGAATCG